TATAATGATATCAATAATAGTGCTCCGACGAACTCAGGAAGTATAACAGAATCGTTAATGAAGTTTGAAAATTGCACAGGATACGAGCAGATTATTCACCGTTTTCGAGGTTTAATAACTACGCAAATATACATGTTAAAGAAGCAATGCTTGCACGCCTGCAGTTTAGACTTATCTTAAAAGCTCTCACAAGCAATAATCTGTAAAATTTTCTTAGAACATTGAACAATCAATAGCAAACGAATGGTGCTTTCACGAGTGGCTCCGAACGAAAGCAGAGTCAGAAAATCTTTAAATTTAGGACGGTCGGACGGTGAGTTGGAAGGCGGTGCTGAATCAAACATTATGAATTAAAATGTAAAAGGTTTTGTTGTCAGAAATGACCAGACACCGTTGTCGAAATTTTAAATTAATCTTCAGCGAGAAAAGACATCAACTTACCATAAAAGATTTAGAACAATTTAGAATTACAATAAATAACATTAATTATTTTGCATATATTTCTGCATATGCCGTGCATATATTTTACACATTAATTTTGCACAGACATTCGTTGTGTAGTAATAACATTGAAAGTATCAGTCTCATTCGCGTTGATAGTCTTCGAAAAATTCCTCTATGGAAACATTTCGAGATTCGAGAGACACTAGAAAGCTTTCAAACATAATCTTGCATCAGACGAAACGGCTAATAGGTATTTATACGTATATCAGAATTGATTCCCGGAGAGATTTCAACAGCATTTGCGTAACGCATCGTGTGTATCTCCGGCGTTGAATCTCGGTTACTGCAATTAGACTTTATCAGGCCGAATTACGTGTTCGAGTCACGGATTAAAATTGATGAATCACAACCAGTTACGGCTGCAGCGTTATCTAGGAAGCGTTACTGCTTCAATTTCTTTCGAGATACGGGCAGTTGATCCGAATGTCCAAGCAATCCGAGCACAAAGTCTATCTTCTGTACTCTAATAGACTTTTTCTCATCATCTATGGCACAGGCAGCAATTGTATTTCGTATCGCGAAACAGGATTCTATAAAACATTTCGTTTAGCATAAAAATGTAACTTTTACATTCCATCTCGATGGAACTAATTGTAACTATCAAGTATTTATTTAGCACGGAATAAATTATTCTAAATAGATCGACTCTAGTTCAATTTTAATAACAGACCGAAATAAAATTTCTCGATGTTTTAATCGAAACAAGAACTTGATCGTTACAAAAAGTATACTATTTTCTTTCTATAGTTAATAACATAATTTTGCTCCTTACTTAATTTTATTTTTTATCGATTAATGATTTTAAAAGACGGATGCAAAATTTTCTTTTTTAATGTTCCAGTACAGGAACTCTTTCATACAAGTAAACGTGACCTTAGTTTTAGATTGTGAAAACTACATAATTTATTATGTATTATCTTACCGTGCATAATACAAACGCATAAATATGTTTTCAATTGTGATTTTGTATTCTTTGAAATCTTCTGCTACTTTTAAGAATCTAATTAATCACTATCGGTGAAATTATTTCACCCAACTGTCTCTGAGAGACTTGGTCATTGTTATCCTGTTTGTCACCCTCGGAAAACTTGTTAAAACGTAAAGATGTATCGTTCGTATACAGTAACTTCTCTAGGAGAGTTGCGGAGTCAGAATTGAAAGTGTATTTCAAGGGACCACAAAACACGATTCTTTGAGCTTCGCGGGTCGCCTTTATAGTTGTCGACATCTCGTGAAAATGAGAGAAAGATAGAACGAAATTCGGGCCAGTCGGCAAGAAAAGCCAGCGGCCAGCATGCCGGTGTACATTGATACGAATACGTACATAGTAATGCTAGAATAAAAACGATGACTTAACTTTTTTATTTCCAATTTTTTGCAACGATTCGAAGGCAAATCGGAGGCCACATGCCACGATTCGGCGGTCATGTACCTAGTATGTACCTACCATGTACCTTTTAGCTTCGCGGTTTTTCTTACCTGACTCACACACAAACAGATCATTTTGTGTTGTCTTCCAGGAATTCGAGTCAAAGGAGCCGCGGCGCGTGCCGCATCATACGCTTGACTGACTCCGACGAACCTCCGCATCGGCGTAGAGAGAAAATTGATAAATCACATAGGCGTGGCAATAACACTGCGACACTCATGGCACAACAAAATTGTGACACTCGTAGAGAAATGACTGTACGTATATCTATTAATTTACCATACTTACTTGTTCCGCGCCTTTTATTACTAATATATCTGCCTATAATATTCATACGTATTTAGAAAGATGCGTGTGTATATTTTAACCCTTAACTACTACCCCTGATCTCTGAGACCGGTAGTAATTACTTATTCATATGTGATGATAACATATGCAGTAAATTCTCCCTGGAATGCCAAATTTTGGGTTGCTGAATGTGATTTATTGCTACATCGATGCTAAGGGTCGACTGAGTTGGTCAGGCATGTGATGCTGTACGCGACGCAGCTATTTCGATTAGAATTCCCGCAAGACAACGCAAAAAGGTTTGTTTGGACGTGAGTCAGGTAAGAAAAATCGCGGAGCTACAAGGTACGTGACCAATCTCCGTCGAATCGTGGCATGTGGTCTCCGAATTGTCTTCGAATCGTGATAAAAAAAATTAGAAATAAGAAAGTTAAGCCATCGTTTTTATTCTTGCATCAATTTACACCGGCATGCTGGCCGCTGCTTTTTTTGCCGACTACCCCGAGGTTCGTTCTCTCTTTGTCTCGCTCTCCCCTCCTCCCCCTCGCTCTTGTTCTCTCTCACGAGGTGTCGGCAATTATAAATACGAGCCGCGAGGTTCGAAGAATTGTGTCCGAGTGTCCGCAGATTACCGTTTTCAATTCCGAGCTCCGGGCCTTCTAGGGAGAATTTACTGTTCCAGGTTTTGATGTTCAAACTTTGTCAATGTATCTTATAGCGTTAAACAAGAAAAAGATGTTAGGTAAACAGGTCATTTAGAGCTTTGTTAAACAGTTATAACGAAAATACAGAATACAAGTGAAATAGTATTAGATTTGTTGTTACTAGAAGCGTTGGCTCGAATAGTTCAATGTATTTACTACTTGACATCGTCACATCCACTACTATACAGATAATAGCTATTACTGTAATAATCATTGCTTACATAAACACGCTTACGTTGAATGTAAATATTGTTGATCTGTTTGAGCCAATGTTCGCAGTAACAGCAAATCGATTATTATTCCATTTATGTCCCGTATTTTTGTTATAACTTTTTACTAAAGCTCTGAATTAATTATGTTTACATAATATTAATTTCTTATTTAGTGCCATAGAATATACTGACAAATGTTGAACATTAAAACCTGGGATATCTTGTATAATTGTAAGAAAAATCGTAAAATTGTATTGCTTTCTGTTCCACGATACAATATCAACATGTATTATAGACTCGATCAGGAAGAATAACTTTGTCATTTATCATTCGATTGGCACTAACTTAGATGCGTTAGATCTAAGGATGCTAATGCTCAACAGATGTCACCACTAGGGTTGACGCCACCGGCGCCATATCTCAACAACTAGGGTAGATTTCCCAGTTCCCGTGCCTGTCGCAATTTCCGTGCCCCCGAATTAAAAATGTGTCGAGAAAACGAAGTTTTGCATATAAATTGCTGATCTATATTTTTGTATTATGTTTACCTATCAACATGTAAGATTCAGGGAAAGATACCAATTTATATATATATATCAAACTCATCGATTCGAAGACGTACAGTCAAGGTATGAAAGTCATGACATATAATTTCTTGACACCCTGAATGTGTAAAATTAAATGACATATAATTCTTAATCATTCTTTTCTTCGTACCCGACATGAACAGGTCGGAGAGATGTGAGCAAAAGTCTGCATATAAAAATAATTTATAATTATTCTCATTAGTTTCAATAGAGTGCAAACAGTTGAAATATTGATATTTTATTCCATAGGTATCACGGTATACTTCGTGCAATAGTAACTAATAGCAGCCAATTTTTATTTTGTTATTAATGTAAGGCATCGCTCTTCAAAATACAATCGAAGCGAACAATGAATTCCACCGAACTCATAATTAAAAAATGAAATGAAAATTCAACATATTCAATTGTACATAACTCAAAAAATGTCAGACATAAAAAAGTGCTGTCTCTTATACACATCTCAATTTTTATTTTGTTATTAATGTAAGGCATCGCTCTTCAAAATACAATCGAAGCGAACAATGAATTCCACCGAACTCATAATTAAAAAATGAAATGAAAATTCAACATATTCAATTGTACATAACTCAAAAAATGTCAGACATAAAAAAGTGCTGTCTCTTATACACATCTAGATGTGTATAAGAGACAGGTTGAGATATGGCGCCGGTGGCGTCAACCCTAGTGGCTGTCTCTTATACACATCTCAATTTTTATTTTGTTATTAATGTAAGGCATCGCTCTTCAAAATACAATCGAAGCGAACAATGAATTCCACCGAACTCATAATTAAAAAATGAAATGAAAATTCAACATATTCAATTGTACATAACTCAAAAAATGTCAGACATAAAAAAGTGTGTTCTGTGATATAATTCAAGTAATATAATGTGTGACATCTGTGACATAATTCAACTAAGTATATTAAATTTTGTAGAAATTATTTCTTTTCAAGGAATAAAATAATTATAAATGATGGTATAAAAGGATGATTTGGAGATGGGCTTTACCTATCGTCTATAAAAATATATATTTGCATAAACATCCGCCGTCTACTCAACGGTCTCAATAAATGGAGTAACATTTATCTGGAATACCGGGCTTAAGACAAATGAACAAAAGGGGAAAAATGAAGAAATGTAAGAAATGAAGGGAATGAAAGAGTTAAAGGAAATGTTCCGTCGAGGAGGCGTCGCGTTCCTAATTCCAATTAGCGGAACATCAAAGAACTCGATGCTCGGCCACCTACAATTCAAGTAATTGTACTTTACTGTACCTTCGGGTAAAGGATGCAGGGTCACCGCCGTTGACAGACGGCCGCTTCCCATGGAAACGAGATGCGGCGCTTCCGTTTGTACTCGCAGCGCTCGTCCAGCCTCGCGCACCTCAAGACCTGCGGTCGCCATACCTGAGCAAAACAACGGCGAAAAAAAAATCAGGCGCGGGTTCAAATTAATTATACGGATCGCGAACGGGTCTCGCTAACGTTATAATTTAACTCGGCGGAGGAGAAGCGTTTCACCGTATTAATCGCGTGCACCTATCTCGGAGACAGGTATCCCGCCCCTCCTTTAAGCACGCTTTGCACCGACCACGACCGAAATTAAATTGTAGGTTCGCCTACAGATTCAATTGATTTCATAACTCGAATTTCGAGTGTTGTTGCGCTCGCTACTCTTGTTAAGCTGTCCTGGCTAGAAGTCGCGTCAAGCGTAATTCCATCCGTCAGATTCTGATAGCGATAATTGCGAAGTGTTCGCTTTCCCTCTGATACAATTCATTTCAACGTATGTATTCACCGTTGTGTATTCTTTTCGGGATGATTTTTTATTTCTAATTTTCTCGAATGCTTAAGATCCGTGATTTTCGTTGAGGAATTATATCAATATCTGCAGAACCTTTTGGTAGAAGAATTGTTGCATTATGTTCCATGTACTATCATTCGGCCACGGTTATGGAATCTATTAATAGTTTACTTGCGAATTTAATACACGGGAAACCTTATCCACTAAGTCCTCTAATTTAATTCAATTACACATCAACGATTTCTACAGTTGCGTAGATTTTAATGCGATTAATCGTGAAATTATAAAAAGTTGAACCAACATGTTAAAAAATAATTGAGAAATGTAACTAGAAATAAAATAGAGTTCGGCAAAATGTTATTCGAATGATGAAAACATAAAGATTGATCTGGATAACAATTTATCCAAGTAAGATTTTATTCGAATAAAAATTCATCCAAATAAGAAGTTATTTGTTAGCCAAATAAAAGAATTTATTTGCATAGGAATTAATTCGGAAAATAATCGATTTGAATAAAAATGATAGACTACAGTGTTTTTCATTGTTCATTCGTTAGTCTCTTCCATGTTAATTTTAACAATTAACTATTTTTTTCCAACTGCTTAAGCGGAAAGTTTGTCACTTTTGAGTAGATCGATCATCGATGCAGGACTTTCCAGAATTCGTATTTACAACACACAATACATATATGCTGAAAAAGTTCTGTAAACGAAACGGTCTACAATTGCCTGTATTATTATTCGAATAATATTTCAATCACTATTCGAATAAATAGGTAGAACGATTTGTTATGAATAATGAATAATTATTGTTCGAATGAAATATTCGACCGAAAAGGATTCATTCGAATAATTATTCTAGGTAAATATTTATATATATTCGAAACAATTCGAATAATGCCTAACCCTGAATTAAAATGACTGCTTTTCATACGACTATACGCCACACGTTTTCCTGTAATCCCTGCGAGAAGAATGCGACAAGCTGCAATCAATATTTACTCGTAGAATTTTTATAATCCAAAAAAGGTAACAGCACTGAAATTATCAGAGTATAATACCTCGGAACAGCGATCGCTGCACGTACACGGCAATTCGAAACGGAATGGTTACTTTTACCTTAATGATATTATAATGATTACAGGGGACACAGTTTGAGTCGGTGGGACTGTCGCGTTTACCGTAATGTTGGTGCTTGCGCGAAAAATATTGGCAGCGGCGCCTTTTAATTAGAGCACCGTAATTGAATCGACGTTATTATATAAACAAACTTGCACGATTAAGTATTATATTATTACGCCGATCGTTCGATTCTAATGATCGTTCTACACTCGCGCGTGTAAATCGTATTACAGAATACAATTTGCATTCCATGCTTAGATACTTATTACAAATGCCTTAATTAAGTCGAACTCAATTATGCATTCAACGTTACGAAGCAAACAGAGAGAAGCAAACTACATTAAATTATAGACAGTCAAAGTTATATAAAAGTATTTAATGTTTACTGCCACCGATATATTTATTCGAATAGTCCTTCTCCTTTTTTCTGTAATAGTATTAATTTTAATTTATTATAAATTGAAATCAGAGTTGGTAACATTCGTTGTTCTAAAAAGAGACATGCTGTATCCTGGACATTATAAGCCATTTGTCAAGTCTATTGTACACCTTCGGTCTACAATTATATATACATAATATATAATAATCCATAAATTCAGCCTGCTACGTGATGCAACAGAAGAAAAGTGTCTCTGTATATGAAGTGTTGATGATCTTGAAGAAAAACTCAAAGAAACATGAGGAACACAATATTTTTCACAGCATCGAAAACAATGGACATACTTAGGGTGCTTCCTATAGCTGGAACACCCAGTATCGGAATCGTATTGCATATCGTGTATATACTTTTATCACGTAACAGCTTAGTTTTCGTTTCGATCAAAGATTGCTTCCACTTCATACGGATTTTCGGTTACGCCCCTGAGTCCCGTCGCGCGTCACGCTCCCCGATGATCGCTTAAATGCTGCACGCACACACATATAAAGCAACAGGTACACGCGCCTGAGGTGTTCGAAAAGAAGGTCGTCGAAAGAGACGACCACGGGGAGTGAAACGTGCGACGGGAGTTCGGAGGCGTAGCCCTCGCGACTCGAATGTTGCGTACTGGTTAATTCCGAGACCTGGTTTAAGGGGATGTTCTGTCTCTGAGATTTTTTAGAATTCCTGAAGAATTCTTTTTACAACGAAACAAACGACTTCCTACTTCCTACTCTCCATTGGTTTTCTATACATTTACTAGTATACTTTGAGGACATATATTTATCTGAAGTGAAAATGTTTAGAATTATCCGAGTTACATCTTTTTAACCAGGCTTTTTAATCGCTATTCTTCGTGACAGACTAGTTCAACTAGTTGGAAAAAATAAGATGACACTTTCAAAATACATGTACTGTTTATCGACGGTACCAGAATGGGCAACATATCTCGCTAGTGAACAAAAATGGCAGCAATTTGAGGTTTGTCTTTCGTTCGGCATATGTATACGCATATACTATACTATACTATATACGGATTATGAAATTCCTTGTCTATCTCAATGTTTATGTTAGGTCTGTTTAGTTGCGAGATTGTATCGTGTTTTCGTGCCCATAAAATGCTCAAATTGTTTTCCGCAATGGCTATGACGTACGGGCGTTTCGTGTAATAGTTATAGTGTATATGTATATCCGCTAGGGATGGAAAATTGGTGCCACTCAGGTGTAGACTTGTGTTAGTGAACCGTGTCGCTGAAAGAGTTAAGTCGGAATAAAATTCTGTTCTAAAGTCATTAATATTTAAGTACTCGTGTAAATATACATTATCTCTTTACCCCATAGAAAATTATTATAATCGAAAAAGTTCAAACCATTGTAACTGCGAGGATAATGGTTATCGGCGAAGGGTTAAAATTATCATACTTCAAGAAAATACGATACAAAAAGACCAACTTCTCGAAGTCTCCAAGCCAGAATATTCCATTAAAATTTTTTTTCAGTTGCCGAAAAGGATGAGAATTGGACGCAAACGTTATTCCGCTTTTCCAATTATGTTGCATCGCCGATAGTAGGAGAATCTCGCGGGAGGGGAATGAAGATTCGTGTAATCGTTCCGACGAATGATCTCGTCGAAGGTTCAGGGATGGGATCGTTTTGGCGGCGCGATGGTAGATGAGAAAAATAAGTAACGAGGAAGGAAGACAAGAACGAGAAGAAACCGGTCGGTCTCCTCGGGATCGCCGCGCCGTACCGAGATTATTTTTCTTCTCGTTCGCTTCTTCTTCGTCTTCTACTTCTCCCTCTTCCTTGTCCTCTTCTTCTTCTTCTTCTTCTTCTTCTATCAGCCGTGATCTTCGTCCTGGAGTCATGGGTCGTGATAAATTAGTGGGTATGCATCGCGTGGAGGTGCAACGTGTGGTAGGAACGTGAGAGAAGGATTCCTCGTTTTTAATGTAACCCTGATGCCTGCATAATTCGTGTGTCCTTACTGCAGACCATTGCGTTAGCAATATTATTCGCTACTACCTGCTGTTTTTCTTCTTATTACGGCTTCTATTGGGTTGGCAACTAAGTAATTGCCGATTTGTTCAATGAAATAAAAAATTTTTTTACTTGGAATAAAGTTTAATCCTTTTGCCATCTCTCTGACAACTTGAAAATTCCACGCTCGTAGAAAGTCTGATCCTTTTCGGCCAAAAACTGAGATAAGTGAGATTTTACAGCGTCATTATCGTTAAAAGTTTTACCACGAAGGGAGATGTCCAGGGATCGAAATAAGTGGTAATCCGATGGCGCGAGATCAGTGCTATATGGTGGGTGTAACATCAATTCCCAACCAATATCCATCAATCTTTGCCGAGTGGACAAAGACGTGTGCGGCCTAGCATTGTCCTGGTGGAAAATGACACCTTTACGATTGACCAATTCTGGTCGCTTTTCCTTGACCGCTGCATTCAATTTGACCAGTTGCTAACATTCACGGATAATAAAAAAATAATATAATAATAATAATAATAATTTTATATCTCCCGCGTATTTATGGTTGAAATACAAATAATTTTCGCTTTTGAATACCGTAGATCATAAGGCAAAATTAGGCGAAACAAGTTGTGAAGTAAGACGACCCCATTTCGCCAGACGGCGAATATGATTAGCGGAATTCGTTTCCAGGTGAAGCTCCCAGGATTCAGGTTGTCGAAGCTTACTAAATTAATCGTGATTTAAATTACCGGTCGATGAAATCCGAGGAGACGTAATTCAACCAGTCTGCGCCTGTCCTACATGACCATATAACAAACTCACAAGTCTCGTCGATTTCTCGATGCGCGACACGTTTAGGAAGGCAACCTTGAATTCGCTGGTAGACGTCGAACTTTTAAATATCACGGCTAGTACTCGCGATCAAATTAGCAATCGACTTTTGCCCAAGGCACTTTCATTCGTCTGGATGCTTTCTCGCATTCGCTGAAACTCAACTCAGCCAGTACAGGTATTCTGCAATTACATTTATTTTTTCACAAGAAACGTGTCTTTCGATTGTTACCATATTTACACGCTTAACTA